GAGAAAGGAATTCAGCCCTTGTTCCCTTCACGGGGAAGTAAAGCTCAGCGAGGCAAAGGTAACACCAAAACCCCACTTGAGATCCCCAATCATTAACAGAAATACATAACCAGAAGGGTTTCAAATGATTTCCTGCTCCAGCCGGAGTCCAGGCCGGCTCTACTGAGGACAGGACCAGCTCCAGCCCCCAGAGCTGGAGGGTCAGGTGGATTTTCTCCATGCTCAGCACGCCCAGCCCGAGGCTCTGGCTCCTGCTTGGCAGGGAAATGGTTTTTCACTTCATCCTTGCCCAGCTCTTCACCTTGCAGCGGGTTCTGTTCCCATCGCTGCCGGGGCTGCAGTCAATGATGATATTGTCTTATGAAACCAGAGCTCCCTGGCACAGGGGAAACCTGACCCCGCAGAAATCGCTTTATCGGATCTCGGGGAGCGTTGTTCTGGGGAGAAATCCTCCCGCTTGTCTCCAGGTGGAATGGCTGTGCTTGCAGACACACCTCTCTTTGTTCCCCAGTGCCAGGCCAGGCCAGGGGATTCCTGCTGCTCACATTTGCTCGAGTGTCACTCTGTGCCTCTGGCAGGTTAACAAACTCATTCCCCCACACACACACACAGCAATCCCTCTCCTCTCTCCTCTGGGCTCAACTGTGTTTGCACCAAACCCTGCGCGGCAGCAGAGGATGGAGGAAATAAATGTCCAGAGAGATTCCACAGCTCGGCCCCACATTTCCCCGAGGGCTCACATGCACCCCGTGGCATCAAACAGCACCAGCACAGAATCACGGAGTTATTAAGGTTGGAAAACCCCTCCAAGACCATCAAAGCCAACCTGTGATCAAACCCCACCTTGTCAGCCAGCCCAGAGCGCTGAGTGCCACGTCCAGCTGTTCCTTGAACGCCTCCCAGTGCTTAAAAACCTTTTCCATGAAGGAGCTGAGCACGATCCCCAGCACAGCCCAGCCCCTCCACCCTCTGCTCACCCTGCACATGGCAAATCCCCAGTCCCAACAAGCACTTGCTGCTGCTACAAAGCAGCTGTGAGCCTTGAAAGCTTTTATTTTTAACATCACATTTTATCCCCCACCCCAGTGCAGGAAATCATTGCTGCTGGACTAAGCTGGCATCAAAAAGGAGAAAAAAAAAAAAAAGAAAAAAGAAAAAAAACCCAGCCCTAATTTAATATTTCTGGAACATCGATTCCTTTACTTCATCAAGGAATTAAGAGGAATGTTGTGAAAGCTGGATAAAGCAGCAGCCAAAAAAAAAAAAAACCAGACTAAAAGCTCTGGACCCCAGCAGCAGCTCATCCTTCATCCCAGAGCTGTTTTCTCACCTCTGCACCCCGAAATGCAGCCCAGGCAGTGCCAGCAGCCGGGCACCCCAAATCCCTGCTCTGTTTTTGACCCTTGGCACGGCCCAGCTGCTCAGCTCCCACCCCGGGCTCAATCACTGCTCTGCCTCCAAAGGTTATTGTGGAAATAAACAGGGCCGGGATGATGGGACAGCACCTGCAGCCAGCAGGGCCATGCAGACAAACAGGGCACAGCATCCAGGGGATGCAATTCCAGCTGGGATGGATCCATCCAGCACCCAGAGGCTGCAATTCCAGCTGGGATGGAGCAGGGCCCATCCACCAAACCAGGCACAGCATCCAGGGGATGCAATTCCAGCTGGGATGGAGCCTGGCATGGAGCAGAGCCATCCACCAAACAGGGCACAGCATCCAGAGGATGCAATTCCAGCTGGGATGGAGCAGGGCCATTCACCAAACAGGGCACAGAACCCAGGGGATGCAATTCCAGCTGGGATGGATCCATCCAGCACCCAGAGGATGCAATTCCAGCTCTGATGGATCCATCCAGCACCCAGAGGCTGCAATTCCAGCTGGGATGGAGCCATCCCCCCATCCCAGAGCTGCTGGTGTCCCCCAGAGGCGGCTGATGGAGGGGGATTAGGGAGCTTTTCCTCCCAGCTGAGCTGTTTGGGCAGCCAGAGATGGGACTGCTGATAGCCAGGGAGCCACGGGATTGATCCAAAGTGGAAATGCTCTCATCATCCTCCCTCTGCCCGGTGCCAGTGCTGAGCAATGCCGGCCTCACCAGCACCCACAGCACAGCGGGGGGATGCTCAGGATGATCCACGGGCCCTGGGATGAATTCTGAATTCTCTCTCCCATCCCTTGGTGCCATCCTGGTCCCCCACCCCAGGATGGTCAGACATGCCCCGTCCCAAACCCACCTGGGGAAGGGCAGGGTGATGGATCACGGGCCTGATCCAACATCCCCAGCACCACACAGACACAGGGAACGCTGAGGGCACTCAGAGCCCACCACAGCTCTCTCCTCTCCCCCTCCTACAGCTCCCAGCTGATGTTTGGAACGATTCCCAGCCGGTGCCGCTGCAGGAAGGCTCAGCTGGTGATATCAGCGCTGCTCCCCAGAAAACACCCTTAGAGCTGACACTCCTTCCTGCCCACAGCCCTGCCCAGCACCTTGAGGATCCTCCAGGGATCCTCCTGAGGCATCCTGAGCCCCATTCCCCGGGGAAACGCCGTCCCCATCCTGGGGATGGATGGATGGATGGATGGATGGATGGATGGATGGATGGATGGATGATGGATGGATGGATGGATGGATGATGGATGAATGGATGGATGGATGGATGGATGAATGGATGGATGGATGGATGGATGGATGGATGGATGGACGGATGGATGGATGGATGGATGGATGAATGGATGGATGGATGGATGGATGGATGATGGATGGATGGATGGATGGATGGATGGATGGATGGATGGATGCCGGTAACCCTGGCATGTGCTGGAGCAGAGCTGGAGGCGCTGGAGCAGGGAGGGGTTCCTGGCGTGCTCTCCATGCTGGAACCACACGTGGAGGCTGATTCAGTCACACGGGTAAGCTGCAACCACTGCACATCCGTGCTGAATCTCCCGCCACACCAGGGAAGATGTGAGGGAATTTGGGGCACCTCCCACCCCAAAAGCGCAGACAGAGGGGAAAAGCCCCCCAGGCTGGGGCACCGAACAACCCCTCCATCACCAGCACGGGCTGTGGGCACTCAGCACAGCTCTCCTGGGTGTGTCTGCTGGGACAGCAGGCTGGCAGTGCAGTGACACAGCCCTGGCTGCCACAGCGAGGTCCCCGAGCTGTGACCCTGACAGGCCGTGACTTGGCATTTTGAGGATTAGCTGGTGAGCGGTACAACTTCAGGGGAAGGGAAAAAAAAAAAATGGAAAAAAAGGGCTGGCAGAGCTGCTGGGGGCGTTTCTGCCGTGAAGAGGAACATCACATGCTCCGGCACATCTCGTTTTTTCTGCTCAGGTTTCAGCGCTGGGCTGTGGCAGCGGCATCCACACACGGAGAGCTGGGAAGGAACCACCAGCAGCATCTGATGGATCGGCCCAGGAGAGAGCTCAGGATCAGCCCAGGAGAGAGCTCAGGATCAGCCCAGGAGAGGGCTCAGCTCTTCCCAAGCCTCTTTTCCCTTTCCATTCCTGTCCTAGCACAGATCTCCATGTGCTTCTCCACACAGCATGCAAGGAAATTCACTCCCTGGAGCAAATCGAGGAAGAAAGTCCCAGCTGACACCCTGCCGTGCTTGAGTGCCACAGGAGAGGCCTCTCCCTTGGCAAAAAGAGCCAAAACATCCCTGCCAGAGGTGCCTGCAGGGAGGGCAGGGCTGTGACACAGACGGTGTCCCCGGCACTGTGGGGTGGGACAGGATTTTGGGGTGATACCTCCCTCAGCTGGGACATGCCAAAAGAGAGCTGAGGAGAGGAGCATGACCAGACAAGCCAGCACCCATGGCTCTGCCAAAGCTGCCTGGCAGAGCCCTTGGATCCCCAAAAGCTCCAGGATGGGGGGACCCAGCGCAGCTTCTCCCTGCAGGATTGTCCTGGCCGAGGTGGTGGCAGGGACGTGAGCGGCCGTGGAGGCAGCAGCCACCCAGGAGCCAGGGCCATATCTGGGGCAGGAAGGGCCACACCTGGAGCACGCAAACACCCTGCCCAGGAGGAGGAGGAGGAGGTGGCAGCGGCTGGCATCCCTCCAGAATTCCCTCAGCCCCGGCGACCTTCTGACTCAGCGCAGGAGAACCTACCCAGTGAACCGGCACCAGCCCTCGGGGCCGCGGCCAGACCGTGCCAGGGACTGCCGGATCCATCCTGCTGCCACCACGGCCACCACGGCCACCACGGCCACTGCCACCACCACTGCCACCTCCTTCACCTGCTGCTGCCACCACAGACAGCAACTCCACCCCACCTGTGCCCCCCCTGTGCCCCCTCTTTAGCCACGTCCGTGGTCACCACATCAAGTCCTCTCCAGCCACCACGGTGACCCCTCTTTGGCCACCTCCATGGTCAGCAGCCCGACCCTCCTTGGGTTCCTCCATGACACCTCCTCGGCCTCCATGGCCGCCACCTTGACCTCTCCTTCACCAGCTCCTCCGTGGCCACGGCTGTGACTCCTCCTTGGCCTCAGCCACCACCCTGAGCCCTCCACGGCCACCAACCTCATTCCTCCTCACCCATTGTCCTGGCCACCACTGTGAACACCACCCCAACACCTCCCTGACCACCACCCAACGCTTTGCCATCACTCCAACCCCACTGGGGCCACCACCATGACCCTCCTCAGCCACCACCGTGGCCACCACCTCAACACCTCTTTGAGCAGCACCCTGAAATCTCCTCATCCACCTCTGCCATGGCCACCACTGTGACCCCTCTGTAAGTGCCACCATGGCCACCACCGTGCCCCCTCCTAAGTGCCACTGTGGCCACCACCATGACCTCTCCTTAGGTGCCACCATGGCCACCACCGTGACCCCTCCTAAGTGCCACTGTGGCCACCACCGTGACCTCTCCTTAGGTGCCACCATGGCCACCACCATGACCCCTCCTTAGGTGCCACTGTGGCCACCACCCTGACCCCTTCTCAATGCCACCATGGCCACCACCATGACCCCTCCTCAGTGCCACCATGGCCACCACCGTGCCCCCTCCTCAGTGCCACCATGGCCACCACCGTGACCCCTCTGTAAGTGCCACTGTGGCCACCACCGTGCACCCTCCTAAGTACCACTGTGACCCCTCCTAAGTGCCACTGTGGCCACCACCCTGACCCCTTCTCAATGCCACCATGGCCACCACCATGACCCCTCCTCAGTGCCACCATGGCCACCACCGTGCCCCCTCCTAAGTGCCACCATGGCCACCCCCGTGCCCCCTCCTTCGGTGCCACCGTGGCCACCTCCCCGCCCGCTCCTCACCTGCTCCCTCCGTCCCTCCCGAGCCTCCGCCGTCCTTGTGCGGCCGCCGCCGGCCCCGGAGCCAGCTGAAGCTGAACGCCCGGCGCAGCGAGTTCGCCCGGGCCTTCTTCCGCCGGGGGGGAGCCCCGGGAGCCCCCTCCGAGCCTCCGCCGCCGCCGCCGCCCCGCTCCGGGTCCCGCTCTCCGCCCGCCGCAGGTGCAGCCCCGGCGGACATGGCCGCGGGCAGCGCCCCGCACCGCCCCGCACCGCCGGCAGCCGCTGCCCATAGGGCCGGGCCCGCCCGGCTCGGCTCGGCTCGGCTCGGCCCGGCCCGGCTCCCGCTGCCGCCCCGGCCCCGCTCCGGGCTCCCGCCGAGCGCCCGGCGCCGACGGAAAGTTTCTGTGCGAGGCGGGGCCGGGATAAGGGAGCTCCGCCCGCACCGGCGCCCGCCCCTCCGTCACCCGCAGGTGGCCCCGGGGGCGTGGGGACCGGGGAGCCTCCCCTTGGTGCCACCGGGGCTCCCCGGGGTGCTCTGCCCGTTCCCCGGTGCGTCCCGGCTTTGTCCCCTCGCTCTGCGTGCGGGGACAGCGGGGGTCGCTGCCAGCCCTTGGGACCCTCTGTGAGGCTGAGCATCAGCGGGAGGAGAGAGCAGGAAAACGGAGAAACACCGAGAGGAGGGCGGAATTCCAGCATCGTCATCCCGGGGCGGCGTCACCTCATCTCGGGGGGCTGGCGATGGATCCCGGCCCTGGATCCCGGTACCGGGAGAGAAACCGGAGCTGGCAGCCCTGTCCTGCCCTCGCCCTCCCGTCCCGCAATCGCCACCGGTTCCTGACCTGATGGCCCGGGGGTGACACTCTCCCTGTCACCGCCAGCGGCAGCGCCCAGGGGGACACCGTGCTCCGTCCTGTGCCAATCTGCTGCGTGCTGCTGATGATAAATCAGCTCCTGAGAACGGAATGGCACAGGGTGAGGGGGGGTTCGGCTCTCCAGGCTCTGCCTGAGGCCGGGAGAGCTCCTGGGAAAGGGAATCTGGGGAAGGATTTCACTGCCCTGGTGTTGCTCAGGAGCACGGCCACGCCAATCTGATCTAGATTGGATTTCAGGACATGAATCCTTCCCTGGGAGGGTGGGCAGGCCCTGGCACAGGTGCCCAGAGCAGCCTCTGGATCCCTGGCAGTGCCCAACGCCAGGCTGGACGGGGTTTGGAGCACCTGGGACAGTGGGAGGTGTTCCTGCCATGGCAGGGGTTGGAACAAGATGAATTTTAAGTTCCCTTCCAACACAAACCATTCCATAACACTCTGATCCAGCTCAGAGGTGACAATGGGACAAGCAGGGACTGGGCTGGAGCAGCAGCAGGTCGGTGGCAGGAACCAAAGCCAAGGGAAGGATCCCAACAAGAACCCAGCTGGTTTCTGCCGCATTTCCACACTCCTGCCTCCCAGGGGTTTGGGTCTCTGTGTTTCCTGCTGGCTCTGCTGGAGCCACATCCTTCCCGGACGCTCCCAGGGCCTGGCCCCGCGCCCAGAGGAGTTTGCCAGCTGCTGGAAATGCCTGGAAGGGTTTCTGAAGCAAGAAGCTTCTCCATCCCTCAGCCTTCCCAGCACATCAGCATCATCTCCTGAGGGATTCAGGCTCTTGCATCTTGTGGGCTGTGCAAACCTGAGCATCCTGCTGCTTCCAGGATGCAGTGACCAGGGATGGGGATTTGGACCCAAATCCAGGGAGGAAAGGTCGGGATTTGCTGGGGTTTTGTGTCCCTGCCTCACATCCCCCCTCCCCTTCACCCACCTGAACCCAAACTCAAGGTTGAAATGAGCACTGGAAGGAGCTGGGCAGAAATTTCTGTGTCCCTCCATGGTGCCAGGGGTTGATTCCTTTCCAGGATGAAGGCTGAGAGTGTCACTGCTCCCCGGGCTTTGCTGACCCATGCTGAGCTGAACTGCACTGAGGAGATCCTAATCCCCAATTAAGGTGTTTGTGTTGACTTTCTGCTGCTGGCTCCGATTTCCGAGTCATTAACCTCCAAAAAAAAAAAAAAACCAAAAAATCCCATTTTTCATCTTTCCCCTCCTCGCGTGGCAGCAGAACCAGTTTGAAAAATATTTCTGCACAGAGTAACGAGGCATTGTCCAAATAATCAGAGCGAGAGAGGGGGAGAGGATCGGCTACACTGCAGGGGGAGCTCCCATCAGAGCAAGGGAAGAACAGGAGGAAGGTGAAGAGGAAGGTGAAGAGGAAGGTGAAGAGGAAGGTTGTCCCAGCCCCAGAAATTCCAGGACTTCATGGAGAGCCTCAGAAAGCTCCAGCAGGGTCCCCAGCTGGGTAATTCATTTCCACTCGCAGGGCCAGGACGATCACGGGATTTTCCTGGGGACAGCAGCTCCCACCAGACCCAGGGGAGGCAGAAACTCTGTCACATCCCCCAGGTGAATTGGGGACCCCTTGGGAAGTGAAACCCAGAATAAATCACCCAAAAAATGAGCTGGCAGTGATGGCATCACCCTTGAGCAGCTCCTGCAGCCCTCCCCTGGGCTCATCCCTCCCCTGCCCCATTTCCCTGCCCTGGCGGGGACACGGAGCCCCGGCTGCTCCCTCATTACTCATTAACGCCGGGACAAGGTCCTCCCGCATCCCGCGGAGCCCCGAGCAGGAGCTGCTGGCCCCAAACCCCTCCTGCTCCGCCCTTCTTGCCCCAGGGCATGGAAAAAACCAGCGCGGAGCCCGGGCCGCGATCGTTGGGGCTGCTGGTGGATCAGCTCGGTTGTAAAAATGGGTTTTTAAAATGTCACAGGCAAAGGGAGGCACTGGTGTCCTTGCTCAGGGGTCGGGGACACGGAATGGGGTGAATAAACAGCAATTAGGGTTTTTCTTTCCCAGATCCGTGGCGGTGACAGGGACAGCTCTGGCGCAGCCCAGGAGCATCACTCATGGTGGTGACAGGGACAGGCGGCCACAAGAGGCATCTCCCGCTCCTGTGGGAGCATCCTGAACCTTTCTGGGAAGGGAAAAGCCCGGGGGAATGTTAGCACGGCCTGGGTGCCATGTGGGACACATCAGAGGACTGAGCAGAACCCAGCAGGACCCAGCAGGATCCGGCAGAACACAGCAGAACCCAGCATGGACCCGGCAGGACCCGGCAGGACCCAGCAGGACCCGGCAGGACCCAGTAGAACCCAGCAGAACCCAGCAGGATCCAGCAGGACCCGACAGAACCCAGCAGGACCCAGAAGAACCCATGAGGACCCAGCAGGACCCAGATAAGCGGGAGCCGCTGGCGCCGCTGGCACCGGGGCACGGGCTGGCCCTGCTGCCGTGCAGATCCCAAGGTCCCTGCGGGGCAGACGGCGCCTCCGGGCTCTCCTCTCATCCCTGCCCCAGCTGGGCACACGCCCACGTTTCACTCCTCCTCCTCTTCCTCCTCCTCCTCCATCCCTGCTGGGCAACCTCCCCTCCCTCTCCAGCGTCCAACTCTCACTGGGGAAACTGAGGCACGAGGTGAAACAACCGGGTCGTTCCCCAGGGGATAGCGGCACCCAGCCCCTCAAAGCCGGGTGAATCCCCCCAGGGAGTTGCAGGGGACCCCTCACCCGGCCGGGCAGGGCAGGGCAGGAGGGGCACCTGGTGCCACCGCCCCCGGAGCCGGGACCTTCCCTGGCAGCGCTCCCGGTACCAGGGATGAATCACAGTCACACATTCCCTGCGATCGGATCGCGGCTCCCGCACCCGAGGGGCCGGACCTGGCACCCCCCGCACCCCGCGCCCTCGGCAAACACAGCGAGCCGGGGCACGGCGCTGCCCGGGAGCTCCTAAATCCCACTGGGAGCTGGAATCCCATTGTGGGACACCTCACAGCACTGCCAGCGCTGCCAGAGCCCCGCTCCTAAATCCCTTCCACTGGAATCCCACCGGGAGCTGGAATCCCATTGTGGGACACCGCATGGATCTGCCAGCGCTGCCAGAGCCCCAATCCTAAATCCTCTCTACTGGGAGCTGGGATCTCATTGTGGGACAGTCCATAGAGCTGCCAGCACTGCCAGAGCCCCGCTCCTAAATCCCCTCTACTGGAATCTCATCGGGATCTGGAATCCCATTGTGGGACACTTCACAGCACTGCCAGAGCCCCGATCCTAAACTCCTTCCACTCTGAAATCCCACCATGAGCTGGAATCCCATTGTGGGACACCCCACAGCACTGCCAGCGCTGCCAGAGCCCCAATCCTAAACCCTTTCCACGCTGGAATCCCACTGAGAGCTGGGATCCCACGGTGGGACACTCCACTGCGCTGCCAGAGCCCTGCTCCTAAACCCCTTCTGCTGGAATCCCATCAGGAGCTGGGATCCCACTGTGAGACACTCCACAGCACTGCCAGCACTGCCAGAGCTCCAATCCTAAACCCTTTCCACGCTGGAATCCCACTGAGAGCTGGGATCCCATTGTGGGACACCCCATGGATCTGCCAGTGCTGCCAAAACCCCGATCCTAAATCCCCTCCACTGGAATCCCACTGAGAGCTGGAATCCCATTGTGGGACACCCTACAGCACTGCCAGAGCCCTGCTCCTAAACCCCATCTGCTGGAATCCCATCAGGAGCTGGGATCCCATTGTGGAACACCTCACAGCACTGCCAGCACTGCCAGAGCTCCAATCCTAAACCCTTTCCACGCTGGAATCCCACTGAGAGCTGGAATCCCACGGTGGGACACTCCATGGAGCTGCCAGCCCTGCCAGAGCCCCAAATTCGGGCTGGTCCTTCCACTCTGTCCCTAAAGATCGTGCAGAGATTGGGAGAAAATGTTCTTTTTACAGAGCACTGATGCATTTCAGAAGCACAGAATGATTCCAATCCTTCTGCTTTATCGAGCACCTGAACCCAGGTGTCTGCATGTCTTGTGAAACTCTTGATTTGGAGCATTTCAGTGTTTTTTCAACACTCCTCTCCTACACAATCCCAACAGGAGGATCTGAAATCCAGCAAGTTTTTTATTTTTCTGCACAGGGACGGAGCTGCCGTGGCAGTGCCAGGCTGGTGCCACCCTGGTGTCCCTGCCCTCAAGGCAGATCTGCCAAGCATGACAAGAAGTAAAAATCCACCAGGAAGGGCGAGACAGCCCCAGGGCAGCAGAGAGAGGGTGCAGCCGCTCTTTATATATCTAAATTTGGGGTTTTAGATAAATATTTGTTGGCGATACGGTGGATAAATGTGGGTTTAGGATGCGCAGATCGGGGAGAATGTGGATGGGCACCATGGATGGGCAGAGGTGGGAAACCAAGAGGGTGAGGGTGGTGTTGCTGTTGGAGTGTGACCACGGGCCTGCGCTGAGGGAAATGTCACCTCCTGCACCCCCAAAACAGGGGAAAGGGTGGCAGGGATCGGTTGTGGGGCAGAAGAGGAAGCAGAGGCTGTGCTCTGCCATTGCTGGGGTTTGTGGCTTTGTGGGCCGTGGAAAGGACCCCGAGATATCGGGATTGACTCCATGAATAATCAAATCCTGGGGAGTGCAGCCTCACAACTCTCTCCAGCCTCTCCTGCCTTTCCCTCACCTCTGGCAGCGCCGGTTCCACCCCTCCAGCTCTGTTTACCGGGGCAAAGTCCGCGTTGTTGGCGTTGTCTCCCTGCACTGCCCGGCCCTGCCGGGGACACCGGGGACACCGGGGACACCGGAGCCGCCTGTTGCCTGGTTATATCCACAAAACATCCCCGTGCCGGGCTTTTGGCAGGAGTATCCTCTTACTGGGAACAGCTGAGCCTCCTCACTCCCCACCCTGCCCTTGGCAGCTCAGCAATCGGCGCTGTCATTGTCCCCTCCAGGCCCTGCAAGGGCTGTTGGACCCAGCCCTGTGTGATCTGCAGGTTTCTCCCCTTGGCACTCGCAGCTTTAGATAGATATTTATACACCCAACTTGTGCGAATTAACAGCATTCCTCTCCGATTGAGTCAAAAATAGAGGCGCTTCATGGAAAATAGAGAGGGAGAAAAAGAAGGTGTGTCGCACCGAAAAAAGGAACGGGATCCAAAAAAAGAGAGAGAAAAAAAATCCCCACTCAAATCTCCCTTTTCCTTTTAAAGCTCTGCTCCCGAAGGACGGACCAGCGCTGGTATTTTAAACCTGATTTCTGCAGATTTAAATCTGATTTCAGCCCCGTGGCCGGCGAGCCATGGGCAAGGTGACAGTGCCAGCAATAGCGGGGTGGCACCGGCGATGTCACACGCTCTGCTGGCGGCTTTTGGGGCACGTTAAAGCTGAAACTTCCTGAGAACCCAGTGCTGACTTCCTGGGCACGGCAGGAGAGGCAGCGGGCAGAGGTAGGCTCGGGGGGCACCACCAGGACAAACGATGACCCCAGGGTGATGCACCCGCGCCCATGTGGCAAAATATATCTAAAATTGGGGGTATAGATAAATATTTGTTGGTGATATGGTGGATAAATGTGGGTTTAGGATGCACAGAGTGGGAGAATGTGGATGGGCACCATGGGTGGGCGGAGGTGGGAAACCAAGAGGGTGAGGGCAGAGTTGCTGTTGGACACCCAGGAGTGTGACCACGGCCACCATGGGGCATTTGCAGGGAGAAATGTCACCTCCTGCACCCCCAAAACAGAGGGAAAAGGGTGGCAGGGATCAGTTCTGGGGCGGAAGAGGAAGCAGAGGCTGTGCTCTGCCATTGCTGGGGTTTGTGGGTTTGTGGGGCGTGGAAAGGACCCTGAGATATCGGGGTTGAATCCATGGATGATCAAATCCTGGGGAGTGCAGCCTCACAAATGCCATTCCATCCCCCTGTGGCATTTGGGGGCCCCCAGCTGCATCCTCTGGCATTTCCCTTCCCGCTGCAGCCAAACCCCACAGCCCTGGGGAACCCCATGATCCCCATTCCATTATTCCCACCCCATTATCCCCATCCCATTATCCCCATTTCAGCCAAACCCCACAGCCCCAGGGGACCCCACCGAGGCACCCCATGATCCCCATGACATTGTCCCCACCCCATTGTCCCCGTCCCATCCCATTATTCCCACTCCATGCTCCCCACCCCATTATCCCTATCCCATTATCCCCACCCCATTATCTCCATCCCATTATCCCCATCTCATCCCATCCCATGATCCCCACCCCATGATCCCCATCTCATCTCACCCCATGATCCCCCCCATTATCCCCATCCCACCCCATGATCCCCATCCCATTATCCCCACCCCATTATCCCCATCCCATTACCTCCATCCCATCCCACCCCATGATCCTCACCCCATGATCCCCATCCCATGATCCCCATCCCATGATCCCCATCCCATCCCATCCCATCCCATCCCATCCCATGATCGCCACCCCATTATCCCCACCCCATGATCCCCACCCCGTTATCCCCATCCCATCCCATCCCACTCCATGATCCCCATCCCATGATCCCCATCCCATTATCCCCATCCCACCCCACGATCCCCATCCCATTATCTCCATCCCATCCCACCCCACGATCCCCACCCCATTATCCCCATCCCACTATCCCCATCCCATTATCCCCATCCCATGATCCCCACCCCATTATCCCCACCCCATTATCCCCATCCCATTATCCCCATCCCATCCCATCCCATCCCATCCCATCCCATGATCCCCATCCCATGATCCCCATCCCATCCCATCCCATCCCATGATCCCCATCCCACTATCCCCACCCCATTATTCCCATCCCATTATCTCCATCCCACCCTGCCCAGGATCCCGGCGGGACGGGGACCTGCGGATCCGCCAGTGACACAGAAATAAGGGGGCATAAACCCAAACTGGCCCATAAATCAGTGCTGGGAACACCCGGGGCGGGCTGGGGGCTGCGGGCTGGCCTCAGCCCGTCCCTGCGGCTGCCCCTGCCAGGGATGCAGCCAGCCGGGCCTTCCCCGCCCTCCTCCTCCTCCTCCTCCTCCTCCTCCTCCCCGGGGCGGAGGGAGGAAGGCAGCGGCCGCAGCTGGCACTGCAGGCGGTGGCCGGGGGGAAGCGGCTGCTCCGGTTTCCAGCGCTGTTTATTAATAACCCCTCTCCGCCCCATGCTAAGCCCATGTGCAGCGCAGAGCCGGCGGCGCTGGGCTCCAGGGGAGGAAGGTAAGAGCCCACCCGGGCTGGGCAGGAGAGGGGCCGGGGTCCTGGGGGGGTCCCACGGGTGCGGGATCCTCGGCGGATTGGGCAGGGATGGTATGGGGGGATCGGGGGTTCAGCGTTCATGGGTCCTCAGGAATCATCAGGTAATCCCTCTGGGGTTTTGGGGGGCTCTGGGATGAGGGACAGAGCCCCCCAGGCCCGCTGGGCAGGCAGGACACGGCGCCCTCCCCTCCCGTCCTGGCCGTGCCAAGCGGCTCCAAGAACTCCAAGAACAGGGAAAATCGGGGCAGAGGAGCTTTCCCCCCACCTTGGCAGGGGCTGCCCCTTCTCCAGCCGCCCGGCCGCCGAGCCCGAGGCTGCGATGTGTCAGCAGTGCCGAAAACTGCCTTATTAGGAGAGAAACTATCGGGGAAAATCAGATCTTTGCTCAAAGCCGCTGCTCCGGGCGCAGGGCTGCCTGTGAGTGCCAGCCTGCGCTCATTCCTCAGGGAGTGACGAGACATGAGCTCAGCAGCGTGGCCGAGAGGTGAGAGCATCCTCCCACCCATCCCACCGAGCAGGAAAACCTCAGCTCGTCCCCGAGCGCTGTCGGGTCCATCCTACCCCAAAAAACAAGCCGGGAGAAGGCACAGAGAGGGTTTGGCGGTGGTGGCAGCCGCAGGTGCCGTGGTGGGGACAATGCCGCGATCGGATGACTCGGCAAAGCGGCTCCTGCTGCAGGCGCTGCCGGGCTCCGAGCGCGGGGTTTGCTCGGTCTCGGCCATCCCGGAGCCTGCGGGCTCCCAGCCGCGCATTCCCTTGCTGTGAGGTTATGGCACAGCGAGAAAATCCCGGCCAGTTTTCCTCCAGGGAGGGCTCGCACGGGGCAGGTCGGTGCTGCTGGGTGGGCTGGTGCTGATAGGAGCAGTTTTTGGGTTTGGGGTCTGGGTTTGCATCCCTCACTCCTCCTCCGTGGCACTCAGGCACTTTAATAGGGTTTTAACGGGGTTTTCTTTCCTATTGCGTTGTGAAAGCAATAATAATAATGCCCAAGATGTGTGTCTAGACGCTGAACAGAGTATTTGCCACTTTGAAATTCATCCAGTCACTGACCAGAAAACTGTGCTCGTCTATACTGATGAAGCTTGTGTGTGCCTGAGAACTGCCTGTGCTGCTGTAAAAATTGATAATAATGATGTTATTTTGTCTAGCAGAAATCATTCTAATTTCTGTATTTGTAATTTTGTTAAGATGATCGGGTGCGATTTTTCATACTTGGCCCCGGTGACATCCCACCGGTCGATTAAAACCAAGTACACAACGTATCACAGACTATCACCTACTCCTATTGTCACCAGAGCGTTGTGTGGGTGACACAGGGATGGTCACAGCAGCAGGGCCATGGTGGGACCCCCTGGTTCTGGGGTCTCACAGGGTGGGGAGGAAAGGCCATGGTGGGACCCCCTGGCTCTGGGGTCTCACAGGGTGGGGAGGAAAGGCTGAGATTGCTCAAACTCATTGCTCTGGTTAAACATCCCCTCTCCTCCCCAGGGACCTGATGGCACAGCCCGAGCCCCCTCCAGAGCTGCAGCTGGATGAAGCCAGAGCACCCCCAGCCCCACAGGGAGCAGCTGAAGGAGCTGCTCCACACCCAGAACGTGCTCACAGCCCCTTGGATCCAGCAGGGAACGGATCTAAACCCCTGCACGGGGGCAGCCCAGACTCCAGGCCTGTCAGCAGAGATCCCTCCTTGGAGATAAACACAGCAGGAGCTCAGCTGGATGAGGGGGCAGCCAGGGCTGGGATCCCGCTGGACGTGGATGGAGATGGGACAGGAATCCCACTGGACATGGATGCGGACGGGGTAGAGGTTCCACTGGACGTGGATGAAGGTGGGACAGGGATCCCAGTGGATGAGGACGCATCAGGATTTCTGCTGGACGTGGATGAAGGTGGGACAGGAATCCCAGTGGACAAGGATACATCAGGAATTCTGGATGTGGATGAAGGTGGGACAGGGATCCCAGTGGACGAGGACACATCAGAAATTCTGCTGGATGTGGATGAAGGTGGGACAGGGATCCCACTGGCCATGGATGAAGGTGGGACAGGGATCCCACTGGCCATGGACACGGACAGGGCAGGGATCCCAGACGACGCAGATGGGGCAGGAATCCCGCTGGCCATGGACACAGAGGGAGCAGGCGGCCCTCTGGACGCCGACGCCCCAGAGCAGCGGTGCCTGAGCCTGGAAGAGCTGGGGAATTACTTCCAGGAGTGCATCGAGGTGGTGGAGCAGCTGGAGCGCGAGCGGGACGGGCTGATCTCGGAGCTGGCGCAGCTGCGCGAGCCGGCGCTGCAGGAGATCCGCCATGCCCACGAGGAGATCCAGGCCGCCTGCAGGCTGCTGGCCAAGGTGGAGCTGGAGAGGGACAACCTGCGCGACGAGATCCGCCAGATCAAGCAGAAGCTCTTCAAGGTGACCAAGGAGTGCGTGGCCTGCCAGTACCAGCTGGAGAGCAGGAGGCACGACCTCTCCCAGCACGCCGCCTACCAGGGCGAGCTGCAGAGCCAGGCGGGGCAGCTCTCGGGGGAGCTGTCCCAGCTCAAGGAGAGCTGCGAGAAGGAGAAGGAAGTTCTGAGGCAGCGCCTGGAGGCTCCTCCGTGCCGCCAGGACAACCTGTACCTGCAGGAGAGCCGCAGGCTGTCGCTGGAATTCGAGAGTTTTGTGGCCCAGAGCCGGCGGGGGCTGGAGGAGCACTACGAGCCGCAGCTGCTGCGGCTGCTGGAGCGGCGTGAGGCCGGGGCCAAGGCTCTGCAGGAGATGCAGGGGGAGATCCAGGGCATGAAGGAAGCCCTGAGGCCCCTGCAGGGCGAGGTCAGCCGGCTGAGGATGCAGAACCGCAGCCTGGAGGAGCAGATCGTGCTGGTCAAGCAGAAAAGGGATGAGGAGGTCGGGCAGTACCGGGTACGAGAGCCCCAAAGGGCACAGCTCCATCCTGGGAATGTTATTGAGATGAGGATTTGTGGGGTTCCTAGCAGGGATGGGCTTGAAAACTGGTCAAAGAAGCTTCAGGTCATGGTCAGGGCTTGGAGCAATGGGTGGTTTGCTAGAGGGGGGATTTATTGATACCAATGACAGAAGTTTGGGTTGGATGATTAGGGAGAAAGTGAGTCATGAAGTGAATGTGATAAAAAATCAGGGGCTGGGGTTGAGTTGAGGCACATCATTAAGGAGGGGGGAACATCCCTGGATGCCAAGCACGGCTCCACACTCTGTTTGGAGAGTGGGAGCTGTGCTTGGCATCCAGGGATTTGGTTTTAGGGCCCAGGGAAATGGGGTGGATGAGGATGGGGAGGATGTGGAATATCTCCTGCTGGTTGGAATCAAAGTTATCCCACACCCTGGCATGGGCAGGGTGAAGCAGCAGCTCCCAGGCATAAGGCAAACCCAGAGATGTGGGGCTTCACCCAGCTTGGAAAATGGGTTTTTCCTGAATATGTTCACTTGGTTTTGGCCCCTCAGAAGGTGGAAGGGATGGGGGATTTCCTTCCCAAAGCTCAGTGACGCTGCTGAGCATAGGCACCAGACACTTCCCGCAGCTCCCCTGAGCCAAGAAAAGCCAGTTTTAAATACAGGTGGCTTTTCTTACAAATCCCCTTCCTGCTGGGGCAGGTTCTGCCCGTCCTGCTGCCAGGAAGGGTCTCACCCATGTCCCCAGAGCCCCACGCCCCAGGCTGCCTCCTGGGAGGGCCATTTGGCTGGGCCAGGCGTCCCCTTGGCCTGAGGGACGAGGCAATTCAATCTCTCCAAGAGCACATTTGGCAAAGAGGCTCCACAATTAATCTCCCCCCTTTCAACGCTCTCGGTTCTCGGCTCGCAGCCGCTGCCTCCTCCCAGCAGTTTCTGGAAGCTGCCCTTGCCCTTCCCTCACAGCTCCTCCCTGCTGGGATGGGGATCAGAACCACCAGCACCCCCACTATGGGTTTGCAGGGTCTTTTGGATCCCTGGTTTGCCTTTTCACATTTTCCTTTTCTCAAATTCCTCATTTATCTCCTTCTGACTCACGCGTTTATACAGCTCTGGCAGCGTCTCAAAACACACACCAAGTGGTTCAGGGGACAAAACCAAGCAGGCAGGAGAAGCCTGAGGACAAAACACGGCCCAGCCCAGCCCAAATCCCCACCTTTGTGCCAAAACAAAGATTTATTTGCAGCGTGGTTGGGCAGGGGCAGCCTGGCTGTGCTTGTCCCCAGCAGCACCACGCACAGGGAGATCCCTGAGGAGAATTTCAGCTCTGCACTCGTTCTGTCCCTGCAGGAGCAGGTGGAGGAGCTGGAGGACAGGCTGAAGGAGCTCAAGAACGGGGTCCAGCTCCAGCAACGCAAGAACCAGGAGCTGGAGGAGCTCAGGACCAGCCTCCATCGGGAGCTCTGCATCTACAAGTGAGTTTGGGGGTCGTCCCTGGGGGGCAGAGGGGCTGGGAGGAGGAGAGGGATGGTGGGGAGGAACCCCACAGTGGGGTCACAGGAATGGAGAAGAGCTCACAATGGGGTCAGAGGGATGGAGAGGTGCTCACAGTGGGGTCAGAGGGATGGGAGGAGGGAAGGGATGGTGGGAAGGAACACACAGTGAGGTCACAGGGCTGGGAGAAGGGAAGGGATGGTGGGGAGGAACCCTACAGTGGGGTCAGAGGGCTGGACAGGAGCCCACAGTGGGGTCACAGGGATGAGGGGATGAGAGGGATGGTGAGGAGGAGCCCACAATGGGGTCACAGGGATGGAGAGGAGCCCACAGTGGGGTCACAGGGATGGGAGGAGGAAAGGGAAGGTGGAGAGGAGCCCACAGTGGGGTCAGAGGAATGGAGAGGAGGAAAGGGAAGATGGGGAGGAGTCCACAGTGGGGTCACAGTGATGGGAACAGGAGAGGGAAGGTGGGGAGGAACCCACAGTCACAGGGCTTGGAGGAGCCCACAGTGGGGTCACAGGGATGGGAAGAGGGAAGGGATGGTGGGGAGGAGCCCACAGTGGGGTCACAGGGATGGAGAAGAGCTCACAGTGGGGTCACAGGGCTGGGAAAAGGAAAGAGATGGTGGGGAGGAGCCCACAATGGAGTCACAGGGATGGAGAGGAGGGAAGGGATGGTGGGGAGGAGCCCACAGTGGGGTCACAGGGATGGGAAGAGGGAAGGGATGGTGGGGAGGAGCCCACAGTGGGGTCACACAGCTCAGGGACACCACAGGCTCCTGCTCCTGGTCCCCAGCAGCAATTCCAGCTCCTTTGCACAACAGCACAGAGGGATTTGCTGGAAACGCCCACAGAGGAGTGGAGTGGCTTCCCAAGGAGCAGGTGTGGCAGTTTAAGTGGTGGTTTCCTCAGGAAGGTGTGGAAAGGAGCTGAGGTTTGGCTTTGGGAAGCCGGGCTGGGGATGCTGGAGCTGTTCTGTCCTGGTTTCACTCAGTGAGCGATGTGCAATGTGAATTTGTAAAGCTCCAGAAGATGTCCATGAGTTTGTGGTTGGTTTTACTCACCCAGTTTGGAGGTGCTGTTATTCCAGCCTCAGCTGGACAGTCTTAACCATTTCCTGCAGCCTCAGTTTTCTAAATGTGAATTTCTAAAGCTCCAGAAGATGTCCATGAGTTTGTGGATGGTTTTGCTCACCCAGTTTGGAGCTGCTGTTATTCCAGCCTCAGCTGGACACTCTTCACCATTTCCTCCAGCCTCAGTTCTCCTTCAGCATTCCTTTTCCCCTTCTCCACCCAGGACATTCCCAAAAACCCCAAAAGTTTTTTATCCCAGCACAGGGATGAGCTCTCAGCCTGCAAACTGCATTTAGGATTCAGCCCAGATCCCAACACCACCCTGCCCTTGCAGCCTGGGTTTTTCTAAATCACAGCCCAACATTTAATCCCAAATCCGTATTTGTGGAGTCTCTTAAACTCCTGGAATTTACAAATTGCCATCCCTGGAAGTGATGACACCTTAAAATGGGGTTTCACTTTGCTCTGGGGAGCTCAGAGTTAAGTGCAGCTCTGAGCTGCCTTTTCCATGAGCTCCCCCAAAAATGACATTTCCTTCTGTTGAATCCTGTTTGCCAAGGACACTCCGGACCATGGACTGAGCCCCTTGAAGTGTTTCCCAATTCCTTTTTCTTCCATATTATGAAAATAACTTTTTTCCCCCCCTCTTTTCTCCAGCCAAAGCATTGATGTAAATATTCCACAGCCTGAATTTCCTTTCTCCCCTCGCAGGAGCTGCTTAGAAATCTACGGGCACCTCTGCAAAACGGAGGAAAAAGCAGAGCAGGACTCTTAGAACCACAGAATTTTCCTCTTTGTAGCAAAAACCAATGGACAGAGGATGCAAGGGATTCTCCTCGTGCTGCTTTACCCTGCCTGATGTGCAGCAGCTGCCTGGAGCTGGGAATTCCAATCTTTGAATTTCCAATCTGAAGTTGAATTTCCAATCTTTTCCCTGGTGCTGCTGCTGCTGCTCTTTGCTTTTCCCCACAGGAGCAGAACAAAAAAAAAAAAATCTTTGTACTGAACAAAGGATGTGGATGAGGAATAACTGATTGATGTTTTGCTGTGTTTGGGAAAATGTTGTCTTGTTCAAGTTCTGGAAGCTGGTGTTGTGGGGGGGTTGACTTTTAAAGTTTACATGCAAGAGAAGCTTTCTCCTTTGAAGAGGATTTTCTTTTGTATTTCAAGTTTCTGCTGTACTGGGACGTGCTCCACAGAAAGGAGGTGGCGGGGAAGAGGTTTCCACTTTATATCGAGTCTCACACTGAAAATAAAAGGTCAGAGTTTAAGGAGCCTTTTTGCGTCTCAAAACCCCAAATTTATCAAACTGAGGTGTTTGTGTTAAAGTTGTGCTGCAGGGTAACAAAAAACACTTTGTGGAAAGGGTTAAAGGCAGAAAGCAGCAGGGCTTGAGGGGAAGAACAATTGTTTGAGTGCTCATTAATTTATTTCACAAAGCAGCAAAAATTAGAGGAGAAAAATCCGATTTAATGCCTTAAAAATTAAAATATATCCCTCCCATCACCCAACCTCATGGACACACATAGGCAGAGACCACCCTGAAAACACCCTCAGCAAAGCAGCAAATGCAGAAAAAACCACAAAACTCCTCCAACTTGGCAGCATTTATGTAGAAAAACTTTATTCCAACTGAAGAACACTCAATTAGTCACGAGGAGATGGAGAGAACAGGCTGCTGGTGGCACTGGACACCCGAGTGGAAGACGTGCAGGACCTTGTGGGCAAGGACTAAACTCCTAAAAAAAGTTGAGTTTCTCCACATTTCACTTGTTTTCCACCAGCTGCCAAGGCTGCTGAGGGCACTGGGGTCACCCTTGGTACAGACAAACACCTTTTACGACTTGAGGGCTCCCCCAAGTTTCCAAAAAACCATTTCACAGAAAGGAAAGAAACATTATGTGAAAAACACAGCTCAAGAAACACACAACGGAGCAAAAAACATGGCAGGTGAGAGAGGCTCTGCAGGAATAGCTAAAACCAAATTGCTGGCACCCAGCAGGAGGGAGGAAAGGGAAAAAGGAAGGAATGAAAAATCCAGAATTGCCAAAAAAAAAAAAGGAAAAATTTCAGTTCAAGTCAGAACTTGCAAGTCTTGTACCTGCAAAGGCAGAAAAAGCCACAAAGAACAGATAACTAAAGGAATTCCTGGTTTCTGGTTGTTCTGAGGAGGACAAGACCTTCCACACCATTTCTGAGCTGTCAGGGGATTAACACTTGGATCATCTCTGTTGGCTCAAGCCCACTCGGGCAGCTCTGCCAATTTAACTTTTGTTTAAATTAGGCAAAAGCCTGTGGCTGCAGCAAGCAAAAGAGAGGAAAAAAAACTAATCCCAAGCATGAAGGCAGCTAAAAAGGAACAGCCAGACCGATAAAGGAGGCAGCTGTAGGAATTTTGGAGCCACAGCAGGGACCTGCCTGAGGGGGCTGAGCATTTTTCTTTTTCTTTTTTGGGTGGTGGGTTCTCAATGTGTGGGTGGAAAAGGCCGTGATGGGATCTACAAGGAGGATGGCTGAACACAAAAATCAACCTGCGTGTCTCAAAACCAGTGTTAAGTCAATCTGAGGGCTGAGAGGGAAGAGAAGGAGAAAGACTAAAACCAGGGGGAAGTTGCCATTTAGGATCCTTGACCTTCTGGATCCACGCTTCCTTCGGGATCTTCGTCGTTGTAGATGTTCTCTGCCTGCAGGACAGGGGTGGAGACACTCAGGGAGCACTTCCCAACCCTCTGGACAGGGATTGAGGGAGCACTTCCCAACCCTCTGGACAGGATTCCACCCCCAAAAAGTTCTGGACATTTTTTAAATTTGCAGGTATGGATCACTCATCCCTGATTTACATTAAAACAGCAACACAAACAACCTTATCTATAAATCTAGGAGTGAAAAAATATCCTCTAAAAAGGGATCCGCTAAAGGAGAGTCCATTGCAAAATTCACAAATTAGTTTCAATTTGCAGGTATGGATCACCCATCCCTGATTTACAAACTTTATCCACAAATTCAGGTCTGAAAAAATATCCTGTAAAAAGGGATCTGCTAAAGGTGAGTCCACGCAAAACTCAAAAATGAGTTTCAATTTGCAGGCATGGATCACCCACCCTGATTTACAAACTTTATCCATAAATCCAAGTCTGAAAAAATATCCTGTAAAAACGGATCTGCTAAAGGAGAGTCCATGCAAAACTCAAAAATTAGTTTCAATTTGCAGGTATGGATCACTCATCCCTGATTTACAAACTTTATCCATAAATGCAGGTCTGAAAAAATATCCTGTAAAAAAGAATCTGCTAAAGGAGAGTCCATGCAAAATTCACAAAAGAGTTTCAATTTGCAGGTATGGATCACTCATCCCTGATTTACAAACTTTATCCATAAATGCAGGTCTGAAAAAATATCCTGTAAAAAAGAATCTGCTAAAGGAGAGTCCATGCAAAATTCACAAAAGAGTTTCAATTTGCAGGTATGGATCACCCATCCCTGATTTACATTAAAGCAGCAACACAAACTTTATCCATAAATCCAGGTGTGAAAAAAATATCCTGTAAAAAGGGATTTGCTGAAGGAGAGTCCATGCAAGACTCACAAATGAGTTTCAAGTATTTGTTTTACTCAGCAGCACTTTCTAGAAGAATTACATAGAAAGCAGCCAAGAACAAAATTTAGAGATAAACAAAAAAAAAAAATAATAGGAAAATGGTCTTGTCAAAGGTCAGGATTGTTTTCCAAAACCTTCAACAGGCCAGCAAACTGTTCCTGTTCACCAGCACCTTTTTCATCTTTGGAGAAAGAAATCTCAAATATTCCTTAAGACAATAATACAAAAACCTCAATTTCATCCTTGGTTCTCACACACAGAAGGGAAAAATTTCCTTCTGCACCGGCACTTCCTTATTTTTAACACAAAACATCTCTTGAATATTTGGAAATTTCTTTGGCCAAATCTAAATTTGGGATTTCACTGCTACAAACTGGGGAATTCTGAGGGCTGTAAAGAACAGCAGGAATGCTGAAATTCAGGAATTTCAAGCCACCCAAAGAACTCACCATTTGCCAGACTTGCATGATATTATCTTCTGATACAGAACAAATGACCCAGGGCTCATTTGGATTCCAGGAGAAATCTGAGATCTTTGCAGTGTGACCACCATGGATAAACTGGGATTGGGGAAATGAAAAGGGGAATGGTTTGAAATTTGCATTGCAGGGTGAGTAATAAGTGAAATTAATTAATGAGAGTGAAAAGGCTCACCAAGAGCTCTGGGGGACCATCCTCAGCATCCTCAGGGGATTGCTCCTCTCCAATTTTACTGCAAAAAAAAAAAGGAAGGGAAAAAAAAAAGAAAATATGTGGATTGGTTTGGGTTTTTGTTTTTTTTTTTGAGGTGTGATGGAATTAATCAGTAATATTTTGAGGAATTAATCAGTAAAATTTTGAGGAATTTGGGATTTACCTCAAGTCCCACACGTTTAGCCTGCGGTCTGTGCCACTGGAGGCCAGGATGGTTTCATTATGAGGAGACCACTGAACCTGCAGACAGGGATAAATTGAAAATATTTTTTAATTTATTAAATTTATTTAATTTAATATTTATTAAATTTAAATTGAGTTTTAAGAAGCTGTAACATTCCCCAACACTTCATTTTGTACCCTGAAAGCTCTACAAGAATTCAAATTGATAGCAACACAAATAGTGTAAATAACATTTATCACAGGAAGAATTGGGAATATTCACACACAAAAAAAGCCATTTCACCACAAAGTGCCACCTGGAACTTGTCCTCTACCAAAACCCACGTGGTTCCCAGTGCAAACAGCTCCCAGGGGTATTGGCTGCTCCTTATCTCAACCAGGATTGCACAAATAGAAGCCACAGACTCCCTCAGCAGCAGGCACAGCTCTCACATGAAAAGAAATCACTGTAATTAAGCTGAACTGCCCAAAAAGCTCCCATTTAAACTGCCCAAAAGCTCCCATTTACTGCTTCTGCTGGAGATAAAGCTCTCCAGAACACACCACTCCTAATAGGATCACAGGATTAGGCAGGAACACAGAATTCTGCTCGCTAATGTGGCATTTCAGGATTCTGTGATTTTATTTAGACATAACACGGTCTGAACTGATAATCCCTCCAGCAAAAAAAAAAAAAAAACCCTTCTACATATTTTTCCTCTGATTAAGGCACGAGTTGGAGATGGAAATATTGAATCTGCTAAGCAGGTGCTGCCCATGGAGTGAACATTCTTTATTTCCAGCAGCAATTTCTGGAAATTGCTCTGGAATTCCAGAAAAAAAAAAAAAAAATTCTCTTTTGTCAGAGGGTGTTAATTCCGGAATTTTGGTAATTTGTAATTCTGGAATTTTGGAATTAATTCTGGTTAAATTTTGGAATTTTAATACCCTCTTTTGTCAGAGGGTGTTAAAATTCCAAAAATAAATTCTCTTTTGTCAGAGGGTGTCAAAGCTTCCTGCAGGTCCAGGCTGAGGAGATGCAAACACTGCAGCCATTTCCCTGGGCCTCCTGCTTCAATCTGCTGCCATGAATAATTGAATGGACTCTGCACTGCTCCCATTTCATCCTCCTGCTGTGGTGAAAGCTCCAGAGCATTTCCCTGATCCCTTTCTGGACTCTGGGAGCTCTGCAGGTCCACAATAACAACATCCAGAAAAAAATAAAACATGAGTTTTTAAGTGTAAAAATATTGTGGAAGAACTACTTTCCTTTTCCAGGCTGCTGAATAGAACTGAGTCTGTGAGGATAAAAGATAAATGCTTTTTTTTATACCTGAAATATTTCATCTTTATGTGATTCAAAGGAGTGCAGCTTCAGTTTTAGGTTCCTCAAGTCCCATAGAGCGACAGTCTAGGGGAAAAAAACATAAAAATATTTAGTTGAAGTCACCAACGTGGATTTCCACCCCAGAAAGTGAGCAAGGATGCTGCAAGATGCAGAAATACCTTATCAGCTGATCCTGTGGCCAGGATAAACTCACTGTAGGGGTTGAAGGAGAGGCAGTTCACCTCAGCTGTGTGAGCATCCACGGAATGGCTGGGCTTGGAGGTGTTGTTTGACCTGGTGTCCCAGCTGGGAGGGCAAAACATGGAATTAATAAAGGTTTGTGCCTCATTTCACTGATTATGGAATTGTCTGGACCTCCTTTCATTGATTATGGAATTGTCTGCACCTCCTTTCATTGATTATGGAATTGTCTGCACCTCCTTTCACTGATTATGGAATTGTCTGGACTTCCTTTCATTGATTATGGAATTGTCTGCACGTCATTTCATTGATTATGGAATTGTCTGGACCTCATTTCATTGATTATGGAATTGTCTGCACCTCATTTCATTGATTATGGAATTGTCTGGACCTCCTTTCATTGATTATGGAATTGTCTGGACCTCATTTCACTGATTATGGAATTGTCTGGACCTCATTTCATTGATTATGGAATTGTCTGGACCTCCTTTCATTGATTATGGAATTGTCTGCACCTCATTTCATTGATTATGGAATTGTCTGGACCTCATTTCATTGATTATGGAATTGTCTGCACCTCCTTTCATTGATTATGGAATTGTCTGCACCTCATTTCATTGATTATGGAATTGTCTGCACCTCCTTTCATTGATTATGGAATTGTCTGCACCTCATTTCATTGATTATGGAATTGTCTGGACCTCCTTTCATTGATTATGGAATTGTCTGGACCTCATTTCATTGATTATGGAATTGTCTGGACCTCTTTTCATTGATTATGGAATTGTCTGCACCTCCTTTCACTGATTATGGAATTGTCTGGACCTCATTTCATTGATTATGGAATTGTCTGGACCTCCTTTCATTGATTATGGAATTGTCTGGACCTCATTTCATTGATTATGGGGGCACTGGGGTCACCCTTGGTGCAAACAAACACTTTTTGTGAGGTGAGGGCTCCCCCAAGTTTCAAAAAAACCATTTCACAGAAAGGAAAGAAACATGATGTGAAAACAGAGCTCCAGAAACACACAACAGAGCAAAAACCAGAGGTGAGGGGCAGAAAGAACTTGTCAAGGGGTTCCCCCACTTACATCATGAGTTTCTGGTCATCAGCAACAGATCCAAAGAGGGATTCATGGAGCAGGTGCCAGGACACATCTTCCACCACCGCTGTGTGCCCCGTGAAGATGGTCTTGGCATCCACCACTTTGCCTTCTTTGGGAACAGCACTGATATCCCACAAGCAAATGGTCTTTACAACAACAAAAATGTAAAAATTTACAATTTTAGACTCTCTTCCCCCTGAAACCAGGATGTATCCCACAAGCAAATGGTCTTTAAAACAACAAAAATGTAAAAATTTACAATTTCAGACTCTCTTCCCTCTCAAACCTAGGATGTATCCCACAAGCAAATGATCTTTACAGTAACAGAAACATCAAAATTTACATCTTCAGATTCTCTTTCCCTCCTGCCCCGCAAAACCAGGATGAATCCCACAAGAAAATGATCTTTAAAACAACAAAACCGTAAAAATTTACATCTTCAGACTCTCTTTCCCTCCTTCCCTTCAAACCCAGGATGCATCCCACAAACAAATGGTCTTTAAAACAACAAAAATGTAAAAATTTACAATTTTAGACTCTCTTCTCCCTAAAACCAGGATGTATCCCATAAGAAAATGATCTTTAAAACAACAAAAATGTAAAAATTTACAATTTCAGACTCTCTTCCCTCTCAAACCTAGGATCTATCCCACAAGCAAATGATCTTTACAGTAACAAAAACATCAAAATTTACATCTTCAGACTCTCTTTCCCTCCTGCCCCTCAAAACCAGGGTGCATCCCACAAGAAAATAATCTTTAAAACAAGAAGTGTAAAAATTGACAATTTTAGACTCTCTTGCCCCTGAAACCCAGGATGAATCCCACAAACAAATGGTCTTTAAAACAACAAAAATGTAAAATTTTACACCTTGAGACTCTTTCCCTCCTTCCCTTCAAACCCAGGATGCATCCCACAAACAAATGGTCTTTAAAACAACAAAAATGTAAAAATTTACAATTTTAGACTCTCTTCGCCCTCAAACCCAGGGCGCATCCCACAATCAAATGAGCTTTAAAACAACAAAAACGTAAAAAATGACATCTTTAGACCCTGTTCCCCTCAAACCCAGGATGTTTTTGCCCTTGCCAGGGCACAGCTCTGCCCCTGGCACTCACGTGGTCATCAGAAGCACTGAGCAGGTGCCCGCTGAGGTTGGGGTTCCAGGACAGCCCGTACCCCTCCTTCTGGTGCCCACGCAGCCGCAGGTCGGGGTTGCACTCCCCAGAAGGATCTGAAAAACAAAGCAGGGTGAGGATTTCAGGGCCTGGAATCATCCTGGAATACCTGGCATTAAGGTTATTAAATTTACTTTAAATTTACTCTGAGTTGCAGCTGCAGCTCAGCTGTTACTGCTCAAAAAAATCAGAAATACAAGGTGGGGTGTTTTTCTTCCTGTCATCATTTATAGAGGTGACAAAAACAGTGGAAGTGCAGGAAAAATTTCCTTTCCCAAGGATTCATTTGGATTTACCTCTTTAAACCTTATACAAAATAACCTCTTGAATAAACACCCACACATCCCTAAAATCCCAAATAAAGGGCAACCCACACCATTTTTAAGTGTCCACAGACACAGGTCGGGGTTGCACTCCCCAGAAGGATCTAAAACAAAGCAGGGTGAGGATTTCAGGGCTTGGAATCATCCTGGAATACCTGGCATTAAGTTTATTAAATTTACTTTAACCCTCCATAATTTGGTCTGAGCTGCAGCAGCAGCTCAGCTGTTACTGATAAAAAAACCTCAGAAATACAAGGTGGGGTATTTTTCTTCTTCCCATCTGCAGTTCTAAAGTGAGGAAGGCACTTCTGATCCTTCTAAAGTGAGGAAGGCAATTCTGATCCTCCCCACAAGCAGCAAAAGCAGTTATTTTATTATTATAATTAATATATTTACAGGATATCAGGGGAACAGCTCAGCTGCCCACCAAAGCAATCATAGTTAACAAAAATTCATCTTCTACCACCTGAAACACCTCACAGTGAGGTGATAAAAACAAGCAGTGGAAATGCAGGAAAAGGTTTCCTTTCCCAAGGATGCATTTGGATTTACCTGTTTAAACCTCACACAAAATAACCTCTTGAATAAACACCCACACATCCCTAAAATCCCAAATAAAGGGCAACCCACACCATTTTTAAGTGTCCACAGACACAGGTCGGGGTTGCACTCCCCAGAAGGATCTGCAACAAGGCAGGGTGAGGATTCCAGGGCCTGGAATCATCCTGGAATACCTGGCATTAAGTTTGTTAAATTTACTTTAACCCTCCATGCTTTGGCCTGAGTTCCAGCTGCAGCTCAGCTGTTACTGCTCAAAAACCTCAGAAATACAAGGTGGGGTATTTTTCTTCCTGTCATCATCTCCAGAGGTGACAAAAACAGTAGAAGTGCAGGAAAAATTTCCTTTCCCAAGGATGCATTTGGATCCTGTTTAAACCTCATACAAAATAACCTCTTGAATAAACACCCACACATCCCTAAAATCCCAAATAAAGTGCAACCCACACTATTTTTAAGCTCTTTTTTGCCCTTTGGGGGATGAGCTGCTGCTCTGTGAGCACAGACCTGGCTTGGAGGGGTGTTTGGTGTAATCAAAGACCAGGACATCACTGGAGGGAGTCTTGGTGGCAATGATGCAGGGGTTCTGGGGCATGTACCGGGCTCTGTTCACCTCTCCCTCGTGGTTGATCTTGATTTCAATCTCAATTTTTCCACTTACTGAGCCAAAGCCTCCAAACTCTAGGAAAAAAAAGAGTTGGGAATGATAAAAGTCAGATTCAGAACAAGGCACAAAGAGTTGGTTCAAGGTTTGCTACCAAGCTCTCAGAATAGACAAAGCTGTGGTAAAAACAAATTGCAATTTTAGGATTGTGATACAATTTGTTACAGCTCCCTTGTCTTTATATATAAAATAACTTAATAATTCATAAACCTGCAAAATTTGGGCAAAAACAATGGGTTTTGGATTATTTTAGAATAAATTTAAAATATTTTTGAGAAATACTGATAAAAAATATAAACATAGATTTGTTAGACAACTCTGTGTGCACAAACAACTTTAAGAAGCCCAAAGATCAAAATACTCATTGCACAATCCAACCTTGCTGTAAAAAGCAGAGCAAACATTGGCTCATGAAGGACTTTCACCAGGTGGAAACACTGATTCAGCCAAGCAAACAGCAGAAATGTCTGACTTGGGGCAGCCACAAAGATCACAGAGCATCAAATTCAAGTCTGATACATAGAATAAAACAGAATTAAAATATAATTTTACCCCAGAAGGGCTGGGACAGCAATCAGGCAGCAAAATTCACAGACAAATTAAGAATGTTTGCAATGTTACACCCCTCTGAAATAAAAATATTCTTTTACATGAGTTTGTGTAAAAATGTTTTACATGACTTTATATAATGCAAATGGGGTAATAAAAATACCAATTAAAAGCACTGTGTGGGATTCAAGGTCAGCTCCTGAGAAATAGGGAAGGGAGAGGTTTTCCCACACAAATATTTTTGCAATTAACTCTCTGTTTTCATCATGAGAAATATTAGATTACACATTCAAGAAACAGAGAATTTATTATTAAGGAGGCATCACTTAGAAATAAATTTTTTTTTAAGTAGTAAAATCTGAACTGTGCTGCCTGAACTTTAGGAAAAGACAAATTTTCTGCTGAGAAAAGAAGGGGAGAACGGTTCCAACCCCCTTTTTTTTGGGCTCTCACCTCCTTTCTCACTGTCATAGTGGGAAGCATCAAACTGGGCATCGTCGTTGGGCAGCTGCACGCTGGCAATCACCAGGTGGTTCTGCTCATCTGAGGTGTGGGTGCCCAGCACCAGCCTGTGGATGCTGAAATCTTTGCCTTCAGGTCTGCAGGGGAAGAGAAACACAAAAGGGATCACAAAATGTCCTCCCTGTGAGGATGGGGAGGTGCTGGCACAGAAGTTGTGGCTGTCACATCACTGGAGCGTCCAAGACAGGGCTTGGAGCAACCTGGGACAGTGAAAAGTGTCCCTGGGTGAGTTTTACAGTCCCTTCCCACCCAAACCAGTTTGGGGTTCTGTGATCTCACCCTAAAAGTCAGCCCAATGCTGGGTTTGCTGTTTATTCTGCTTTCAGGGGGTCCCTTTACCTTGTGACATCAGGAAGCCACTGAGCAGTCAGGCTGGGCCACTCCAGGGCATGGGTCATCACCAGGTCATAGAGGAAAGGAGTGTTCTTCTTCCATATCTTGTACTCCTCGTTGATCACACGCTCCTCCACGGCGTCATCAAAGGCTGCTGAAGTGGTTTTTTCAAGAAATACATACAATTAATTATTTATAAATGGATTTACAGGCACACAGCACCGTGGGAGGCAATGGATTACAGCCAAGTACATCAATCACACCCTGGTTTGCTATTTGCTCTACTGGAGCAAATGGTTAAAAATTGGTTCTAAACGGTTAAAAATCCCCTGTTGCACGTGTTAATCCTTCTTCTGCATACATGGCTGGGAATTAATATTAATTATGTCAAATTTCACGCCTGGAAGTGTCCCAGGACAGGCTGGACAGGGCTTGGAGCAGCCTGGGATGGTGGAAGGTGTTCCTGCCATGGCAGGGCTGGGATGAGTTTAAGGTTCCTTCCAACCCAACCCATTCTGGGATGATTTTGATGATGATGTTGGAGCAGCACAATAAAATTCTGAGACTCATAGCACAGGGAGGCAAACCCCAGTGTTTAAACACAGCAGATCCAACAACTGCTGTTAACAGACCGGTCTGGGCGCAGCCTTGAACTACTTATTCCCAAAATCCAGTTTCCCAAGGCTCCTTCTGCTGCCTCGTCGCTCTCAAACACTTTCTCAGCCCATCTGTCACCAGCCTCCGGTGCAGAGAAGGCGACGGGGAGAGCTGGGGGAGCTCACGGGCAGAACGGGGACACCCCTATGGAAATGGGGACACCTCCATGGAAACGGGGGACACTTCTATGGAATGGGGGGGTACCTCTATGGAAACGGGGACACTTCAATGGAACAGGGGGCACCCCCATGGAAATGGGGGGACACCCCTATGGAAACTGGGACACCCTCAGAGAACGGGGGACACCCTCATGGAAACGAGGGGCACCTCCAGGGAACCGGAGCTCGCCCACGGGAGGGGAAGAACGCCCGCAGACCCGGAGCTCACCCATGGAACGGAGGCGCCCCGGCCGAACCGGGCACCCTCAGGGCCGGTGCCGCCTCTTTTGTCCGCTCGCTCCGCCCGCAGGGCACGGCCCGGCTCTCCCGGCCTCACAAACCCCTCCTAGGGGCACAGGGCCGGGCAGAGGATCCCGGCCCGGGCCGCTCTCCCCGCTCGGTGCCGCGGGCGCGGGGAGGCAGCGGCGGCCATGACCGAGGGGGCCCCTCAGGCCCCGCCCCCGCGCGCCCCCTGGCGGCGCCGCCCCGCTCCCCTCACGCCGCACCGACCGCGGGGGGGGGCACCGCGCGCCTCACGGCGAAGGCCGCGCCGCCCATACGGAGCCTTTACCTTCCTTGTCCGCCATGGCGGGGCCGCGGGGCGCTCGGCAGGGCGGGCTGGGCTCGGCGGGCGGGCGGTTCCGGCGCTCCCTGCTCCGACCCCTCCGGCCGCGGCTCCGTCTATTGTTTCCTGCCCCCGCTGCGTGCGGCTCCCGGCGCCGCGCACCCCTTCGCGCGCCAACGCCGCCCAATCAGCGCCCGCCGCCGGGAGGCGCCGGCCAATCGGAGGAGGGCAAGGGGGCGGGGACGGGAGCGCGCGCGGCGGTCACGTGGGCGGGCTCCCCGCGGGAGCCGCCATTTTCCGGAGCGCCCTCAGCGCGCTCTTAAAGGGGCCGCGCCCCGCGCTGAGGGCGGCGGGGTCTCGGTTCGGTTCCGTTCTCGCTTCCGGTCCCCGGTTTGGAAGAACCGGTGGTTGCGGCTCCTCCGGTCACCACAGACGTGGGCAGAGCGGATTGAGGCAGCATTGGACCGGAGCGGTGCGTGTGTGGGCCGAGGCCTCCTTGCAGGGCCGCCCTGACACCATCGCGGATCCTCGGCGTTATTAATTCTCTGTAATCACGAATATTTTCCCTTTTTCCACAGTTCAGTGCCGCGGTGAGTTTTAGAGGTGTCAAATTTGCTGGTTCTGCTCCGCTGCTGAGGGTAACTGTCCACAGCTGAAGTTTAACAGGTTTAAAATCAAATATCAAATCAATTTCTGCGTTTATTCCTCAAGGAAGTTCTCAATTCCTGCCCGAGTTCTCAATTTCAGACTTCTCTTTCCAGCACACTTAGATTTCAGCAGAAATTAAAAATTGGAAATGCTACGTCTTGTTTCTAAGCCTTGGAGTAAGAAGCAAGTCCTGCAAAAGTTAAGGGGTATCTGTAAATTATTTGTGGTGTTTGGATTCAGCTGTGGATAATTCTTATAATGTACAAAAATATTAAAGAATGGTTATGATGTCTGGAAATCTGGAGAGGAAAATTAATTAGCCTGAAGTTAATTGGGTTTTTCAGTTTGTGTCTGTTGGATTTATAAAAGAACAGGAAAAGAGCAATTTGGGAGAATCTGACTTTTCAATGGCGGAGTTGATAGAGTTTCTTTTTGTTTGTTTTATTTAAAGGTTTTTTAAAAATAATTTTTAAAAAGTAAAAATTTAAAAATTAATTTAAAATTTAATTTTTATTGACAAGTTTTAAAGTATTTTAAAATTTATACAAAATCAGCCAGAAGAGGAACACAGAAACCCCTGACACTTGGGTGACAGCTGGATTTGTGCTTTGAGGTTTGGAGGTTTAAATGCAATCTTTGACCTAAGAGAACATAACTTTTTTTCCTAAGAAAAATCCTCTGTAAGGTTTTTGGGGCAGTGACACTTCAGCTATGTGATGTACAATGGGCTGAGCACCTTAAAAAAATGATTTAGAAAATTAAAATTTTCCTAAAGCATGGAAGTTTAATCCACTTTACAGCTGTTCCCATCAGCTGTATTTTATTATTTATGAATGACTGGAATTCTCAGTGTACACAAGGAGGAAAAAAACCACAATTCCTCCCAGAAAAAGCCAAAGTCCACAATTCCCATCGGGAGTATTTCCCTTGGCTCTGCTGAGTGAACAAACATCAGATTGAACTCCCAACTTCCTCATTCCCCAGTTGGACACAAAGCACCTGAAATGACACAAATTTAGCATTGAGGGGATCCCTCCTTGTTCTCCACAGGTGAATAAATCTGGGGAAAGCAGGAAGGAGAATTCAGCAGCAGAATTCAGATTTAATCCCTGTGGAGCCTCAGCCATGGCAGCTGAGGACAGGGACTACAACCTGACCCAGGAGCAGAAGGCTGTGAAGGACAAGTACCCCCCTCTCTGCAAGAAATATGAGTGTGAGTGTTTGAATTTTTTAAAATTAATTATTAAACTCAAAATTTAATTTTAAAAATATTTTAAATTTTTTTAAATAATGAAAAAATAATTAAAAATAATTAAAAAATAATTAAAAACAATTAAAAATTTAAAACATTTAAAAAATAATTTTAAATATAAATTTAATAATTAAAATTAATCATTTTAAATATGCACCGTGGGTGTGGCGGTGCTGTTGTGAGGACAAGGAAGATAACAGGAAATTTAGGAATGAAAAGCCAATTTTCTTCACTGTGCTTTTCTTATTAGGGCACTAAAAAAAAAAAAATCACAATGGAAATAAATCATTTAAGTGTCACCATGAAAACTTTTCCTCTTCTTAGCAAATTTTCTGTCTCACCTGTAGGAAGGGACATTCAGAGTTGTGCTGGGTTTGTGTGTGCTGTTTTTACTCTACTTTAAGATTTTTATCTCCCTTTTTCCACCCCTGAATGTCCCCTAAGAGGATGTGGGTGGCAGCTCAAGGCAGGGGACAATTCCCTGCCTGGTTTTTGTGCCTGTCTGGAGGCCCAGCCTCTGTTATAATTTATATTTTTCTGATATAATTTATATTTTTAGGCTGTATTTATTTGATAGAAGTGCAGGAATTGTGACACACCACAACAGCCATGCAGTTTCCATAACTGCAGGAGGTTTTCTCCCTCTTTTGCATCCAGAGGAATTTGTTTGCTTTAGAGACTGTTGTTGAGATCCTTTAATAGTGTGTGATCTCTTCAAGCAGCACCAGAATCATTTTTCATTTGAAATGAACATTTATCTCCCATCCCAACTTAGTTCTGCTGCAAGTTTGCATTTCTTTCATTCCCCTGAATAAATATAAATGAGGTTCATGAGATGTTAATCATGCTCCACAAGTAAAGTTTGCCTTCTATTTTATATTCCATTCTATATTTTAAATCCTTCTCTTTGCGTAATGGCTGCTTTTGGGTGTGGACAGGTAGATTTCCTCACTGAGCTGGAAATATTTGCAAATCTCACCCTCTGCATGAATAACTTTTAGTTTAGCATTATCTCTTTACTCCTGGTGGAAGTTTCTTTTTATTGCAGTTAACTTGTGGAAGCCATAATCCCATTAAACAGGGGTTTTTTTGGCAGAAATAATCCAAAATCCCACCTCTGTTAAATTTTTTTCATATACTATAAAATAGATTTATCACAGCTACAGATGAATGTAAAAATGTTCTGTTAGAAAATCAGATATTTATGTTATTTCTTTTTTTAATCCTCATGTTATAAATACTTTTGGTGACATCATTCTTTTTCTTTTTGCTTCCCCCCAGATTTGGATCACACGGCAGACGTGCAGTAAGTGTGGGCAGCTGGGATTTCTCAGGGTGACAAATTGATTATTTCTCACACTGCTTTGAGCCTGGAGGAACAGCCAAGGACACTTTGCAGATGTGGAACTCTGAAATTTCACTCATTGGAAATAAATAACTTAAGTGTCACCATGAAAACTTTTCCTCTTCTTAGCAAATTTTCTGTCTCTCGTGTAGATTTCGTGTCTCTGCCTGCTTTGACGTGGTCAATTTTGTTCCTGTTTTTGGGACACCATAGAATTATGTTTGGTTTCTTTTTTAGTATTTCACTTGTGCTGTTGTGTTATTTGAAAATGTCTTTTGAAATCTCCGTTTTAAACAAAATTTCTTCTGTGTGGTTTACTTTTATAGACACCAATCAGCCACATTAGGAGAGAACTTTCTTGGCTGATAAAACATTTATTTTCCATGTTCTCCCAAGAAACTCTTCCAGAGTTTCTAACTTCTAGAAAAATGTGGTTTTTTGCTTATTCCATGTTCTGATTTCTCATCTGCATGTGAATTTAGGGCTGTTTCTTTTTGCTGTGATCCACAATTTTATTGTAGTGATTGTTCCATCTGTGTTTTGATTCCGGTGATTATTCCATGTGTGTTTTTTGATTTCAGTGATTATTCCATGTTTTTTTTTTTTTTATGCCAGTGATTATTCCATGTGATATTTTTATTCCAGTGATTATTCCATGTGTGTTTTTTGATTCCAGTGATTGTTCCATGTGGGTTTTTTATTCCAGTGATTATTCCATGTGGGTTTTTTTTATTCCAGTGATTATTCCATATATTTTTTTATTCCAGTGATTATTCCATGTGGGTTTTTTGATTCCAATGATTATTCCATGTGTGTTTTTTTATTCCAGTGATTATTTCATGTGGGTTTTTTTATTCCAGTGATTATTCCATGTGTGTTTTTTGATTCCAGTGATTTTTCCATGTGGGTTTTTTTTATTCCAGTGATTATTCCATGTGGGTTTTTGATTCCAGTGATTATTCCATATGTTTTTAGGCTCCAGTGATTATTCCATGTGTGTTTTTTTATTCCAGTGATTATTCCATGTGTGTTTTTTTATTCCAGTGATTATTCCATGTGGTTTTTTTTATTCCAGTGATTATTTCATGTGGGTTTTTTTATTCCAGTGATTATTCCATGTGTGGATTTGATTCCAGTGATTATTCCATATATTTTTAGGCTCCAGTGATTATTCCATGTGTTTTTTGATTCCAATGATTATTTCATGTGGGTTTTTTTATTCCAGTGATTATTCCATGTGTGGTTTTTGGTTCCAGTGATTATTCCATGTGTGTTTTTTTATTTCAGTGATTATTCCATGTGTGTTTTTTGATTCCAGTGATTGTTCCATGTGTTTTTAGGCTGCAGTGATTATTCCATGTGTGGATTTGATTCCAGTGATTATTCCATGTGTGGATTTGATTCCAGTGATTACTCCATGTGGGTTTTTGATTCCAGTGATTGTTCCATGTGTGGATTTGATTCCAGGGATTACTCCATGTGGGTTTTTTGATTCCAGTGATTATTCCATGTGTGGATTTGATTCCAGTGATTACTCCATGTGGGTTTTTTGATTCCAGGGATTACTCCATGTGTGGTTTTTGATTCCAGTGATTGTTCCATGTGTTTTTAGGCTGCATGCCTGGGGGGACACGTTGGAAGAAGCCTTTGAGCAGTGTGCCATGGCCATGTTTGGCTACATGACAGACACAGGCACTGTGGAACCTGTGGATACAGTGGAGGTAGAGGCAGAAGGTGAGGTCTGCACTTCTTCTGTGGACAGCTAAAAAAAGGGAGAAAAGCACCAAAAATCTCAATCTTTACACATAGCCTTAGTGCAGTTAATGAAAATATAATTAAGAATTGTTATCTGAGTCTCCTGAACAAC